CATTGACCTATGCACTAAGAGGTTGCCAGTTCGATTCCCGGTCAGAACACATGCCCAGATTGTGGGCCAGATCCCCAATGTGGGGCATGCAGGAGGTGGCCAATTGATGTTCTCTCTTATTGATGTTTTTATCTCTCTCTCCCTTCCTCTCTCTCTAAAAATCTATAAAGGAAAAAAGAATTTAAAATAAATAAAATAAAACTTGAAAGAAGAGAAAATTTTATATAGATAACTTCACCTTTCTGCACTCAACTTTCTCCTTTTTGAGTTATCTTCTCTTCTCTTGAATTTTCTTCAACATCCATTCATACAGTATTAAATTACACATTATTTGTAAATATATTTTTCTCACCCAACCATTTTCTTTTGACCATAAATAACCCTCTGTTTAATGTTTCTTTAAAAGCATTCTACAAATACTTAGATTTTTATTTGGTTTTTCTCTTTTCTTTTGAATTATTTTATCAATGACTTTTACCCAATATCTTCTGCATTTGAGTTGCTATTACAAAGTACACAGACTGAGTGGGCTAAACATTTATAAGTCATAGATCTGGAGGCTGAGAAGTCCAAGTTCAAGGCTCTGACAGATTCGACGTCTGGTCAGCGCCCATTTCCTGGTTCATCAATAGCCTACCTCTTGCTGCACCTCACATGGAGAAGAGATGAGAGAGCGATCTGGGGGCTCTTTTATGAGAACACTAATCCCATTCAGGAGAGCTACACCTTCAGAACCTAACCACCTCCCAAAGGCACCGCATCCTAATATCATTATATTGGGGTGGGGTGGGGGGGGCGGACAGAATTTTAACATGTGAATTTGGGGAAGATACAGAAATTTGGTCCATAATATTCTGCCCCTATACCACCCCCCAATTTCATGTTTTTCTTACATGCAAAGTACATCCCAACGGTCCCAAAAGTGTTAACTCATTACAGCGTCAACACTGAAGCCTAAGTTCAAGTTTCATCTACTGTCCTCTAAATCTGACATGGGTAAGACTCAGGATACAATTACCCTGAGGCAAATTTTTCCCCAAACTGTGAGCTTGTGAAATCAAACAAGTAGGTGCTTTCAAAATATATGATGGAACAGGCATACGACAGGCATTCCTACTCTAAAAAGAGAAAGAAGAAAGGAGGTCTCTGTAAATACAGAACCAACAAGGGAAAACTCAATTAAACCTTAAAGCCCAATGCTCCTGTTTGGCTTGGTGCTCTGTCTTCCAGATCCCCTGGGAGAGCAGTGTCGCCCCCAGGGGAACTGCTTTGCTGTGGCAGTGACTCTACCCACGCTAGAGCTCCCTGAGGTGGCCCCTCTCATATTGTGGTTCCACTGGGTACATCCCACAGGTCTCTGCAGCTCCTCCGCCACACACACTCCACTTAGGCACTGGGCTGGGATATCCTGGCCCACCTGAGCCAGAGAGGCAGCCCCAACCTTTGAAACTTCTCTACAATACCCCAGAGAAAGAAATTCAGTAACTTGAAGACATAGAAATAGAATCTAAAAAATTAAAGCATAGTGATTTTTTTAAAAAGACAATAAAATTATTAAAAACCTCCATAACATGCAAGAAAATATCAAGCATCTAACATACACATAATGAAAGTCCCAGTGGAAATAAAAACAAGGGTAGGTTGGACAGAAACCTGGAAAAAATAACATTAAAACAATTTTCAAATTTAATGAAAACTATAGATCTACATATCCAAGACTCTCAATAAATTGCAAGCAAAATAAACACACACACACTCACACACACACACACACACACACCAAGAAAAGGCACATCACAAATTGCTTAAAATCAGTGAGAAAGGAAAAATCACATAAAACATTATACGATGTGTAAAAGTGCACACTACAGAGAACAAAGGCCGTATTGCCTTCTCTAAGAAGGTTGTCTTAGTTTTCAGTTTATGTATAACTGTGATTTGCATGTGAGACCTTCAAGTTTATTTGGGGGATTGGGAAAATTATGACACACAGGACCAGAATCCTGATGTGCGCATAGACATTTGTATGACTATTTCACAAACTGAGCAGTATTTAAAAGCCAGATTTTAAAGAGGAACCCAGGAGAAAAACCAAAATTGAGAACCTTAAAAATCATACAAGGAAGAGTTCATCTGAATTAAATGGATAAAGAAGCAAAATAAGGAGCTTTGCAAAGGCAAGGGAGGTTTCAGAATAATACTGGCAAGAAATGCTCTTCTTTGGTGGCAGATCTGAAGTATCACAGAATAAAGGATCCTTCAGAGCTAGTCAACATCAAGAAGGCAAGCTGGGAAGAGACTGATCACTGGGCCCTGGAGGGCATTTGTGATCTGCAGGTAGAACATTCCCCACCTGGAGACTGAAATCTTTGTAGGACATTCTAAAAGGGCTAATCATGCCACATTTTTAGATCCCAAATCCTGAAGATGCCTGTTTTAGGTTGCTTGTTTCTCTCTTGCTTTACTATTTCCATTTGCTCATAATCAAAAGCCTTCTAACTAGCCAATCTGATAGCATTTTCTTTCTTTGTCCTCCACCCTATTCTGGGCAGAACTAGCAAATACACCTTTCCTGAGCACTGTCTGCCTCAGGTCTATTCATGTCTCCTCAAAAACCTTCACTGCTTCACTGTTTCATTTTCTGCCTAATGTAAATTGGTCTGGTTGCCAAGATCATCCAATATATGTCCTTATTAGACCTATTTACTTTTATTTCTTCAATACTCAGTCTCTGATCTATTCGTGTTCATCCTTGCTCCATCATTACTAGGCCTGCTTGCCTACCTTTACTCATGTTTTCCATGCTCTCATCTTCCCTCTTCACCTATCCATCCTTCAAGTACCAACACCCACCCTTGAAGCTTTTGCTCATGGCCTTTCCACCTTAAGAAATACCATCAGTCTCAAAATCTTGTTTATGTGAGTTAAAAGTTAATTTTCTGTGCCATGGAATAGTATTCTAATAATTTATTTTACATTAGTCTTTAAGTCTTATTCATATATTAAGTTTCTTGAGGGCTAAGCCTATAATTAATCTTAGTTCTATAGTTTCCAGTGCCTAAGACAGTTTTAAAGTACATAAAAGATAAATAATTATTGATTGATTGACATATCAAGTCTACAATTTAAATAAACTGGCTAAAGTAAATATATTTTCTCGGCTATTCTTCTAAAGATTATCCACTTAGTCACAATGAGATTTGTAATCCAAGTTAAATAGCAAAGATCCCTAATATTTTTCACATATAGAACTTTTCTGTAGCCAATTCCTAATTGCAGTCATTTAGAGGCTAAACTCCAAAGTTGGATTCCTTAGGTTATAAACAGTAATCTCAACGATTGATACTAAACTAAGTTCTGATGTTCTCTCGTCGGTAGACACGAAAACCACAGATCAGAATGATACGTCATAAACATGACGAGCAACGAATTCACATTGACTAAGAGAAAAGGTCTTGTCCTTCAACTTAACAGACAAATGTTCAACAGTTCACTTTGCCAGTAGGGTTGGTTTCCAGAGGTTTAAATAAAAGTGTGACAGGGTCTAGAGTGAGAACTTTTCATTCTTTCCCTGAGTATACAAAGAACATGTAAACATTATTCATGTCCAGAAAAAAACATCTCAATTTTACAACCTTACTTGTTACATTCCCCCAACCTTTTCAAAACTGGTTTCTATTAACTAGTTCTCTGTATTTAATTTAGTTCTCCATATTAATTTAAGGTCACAAAACTCAAATAACACACTAAACTTCAGGAAACCAATTGCAAGTAGATTTCAAGAACTATGACTTTATTACCACAGTCTATCCAATCTTCCGTTTATGTGATAAGATATCTTGCTTGTCTGGAAGCAGCCTCAATAGCTCCCTACAGTATCTAGTACTGTGATTTTTGTTTCCACGTTATGAAAATGTAACACATAATTTTGTGCCTGTCACACATAGTTGATGACCAAAAAAATAACATCTTTTGTTTTTCCCACTATTTAATTTATGCCAGAATTAAAGGATAGGTAGGAGGTACCAAAGACATGGTGTGATTTATACAGAAGGAAAAATGCAGGATCTGTAGGTTTTCGTGTGGAATATTATTATTGTGGGTCATGCATTAAAGAATCACCAACCTCCTAAAAACAAAAGTGTAAAACTACCTTAAAAGCAAACAGTTGGGTCTATTTTGATGGTCTATTCTTCAAATTAAGTTAGGAATAGACCTACAGTGGAACAGCCAATGAGATGGTTAGTTTCCATTCCATTTAGTGGGCATTATTTAGTGTAGCACGTTAGAAATGAGAAAGCTACCATAGTCTTTAGAGTTTGGACCAAGGAGATGTTAGAACAGATATTACACAGATGGATCTTCAACCATCAGATGAAAATTCTGTAAAATTTACGCATATTATCAAACTAATTAACTCATGGGTGACTAGATTTATGCAAGTTTTGGTTTTTCTACAGATTCTGTTTATAACATAGTCCTATCATACAGAGAAATGTCGCTCAAGTACTCTAGATAAGAGGAACTTGCTTATTATACTAAAAGAGAGAAAAAAGTTGAAAAGATAATTAAGAAGATTCCATTTTGAAGGAGTCAGACTAGTATATTTCCCATGAGAACATAAAGCAAACAGAGGAGTGGTTTTCGAGGGAATTTGTTAAATTATTTTATTAAGCAGTCTTGACATGAGGAGATGAAACTAGTTAGGATCAGAGTTGTATTGAACTTAAATGGATTCTGTGACAATTTCCTCCCTTCTCTTGAGATGCTTTGAGTGCACAGTTCACCTGAATTAATTGTATGAGGCATAAATTAGAAAAAAATAAAAGCGAAAACTCCTGGTAGTATGCAGGGGATCGCAGAGAATCCAGGACAAAACCTCCAGGGAACTAATTACTGGTTTCTAAACTTGGACATTTTGTGTGAAACATTTTCATCAAAGAATATAAATGTAAAAGTCGAAGCTGACCATTTCATTCATTACTGTGGAAATGCGGTACCTTGCCTGACCCAAGCTCCATGATGAAGTTTGTGCTCTAATGTATAGCAACATTTATGATATCCAGAGAGCAGTTCCGCCCAATTAATGGCCACAGTGGCTTCTTCGTCTTCACAGGCACTAGCGGGACGCTCAAACAGGGAAAGCAAGGCCGTTGTGAAAACAATTGCCTGAACCTTGACAAAAAGAAAAACAAACATGGGCAGAGAATCGTTGCAAGAAAAATCTACAGTCTTTAACATTAATAAAAATTGATATTGAATCAATAGGAGGTTCTTCAAGATTAGTTAAAAGATGCAAGCAGTTACATTAAAAGACTGAACAACTGCAATGTTAGTAAGGCAATTACCAAGGGCGGTTCATTTTCTTTTATGATACACTTGTCATCAAAAACAGTAGGAATAAAAATCTTTCACAATTGTGAAAGGATGTTATTCAAGTTAGACTACTTAAGAGTTCACAGGCATATTCTAGTGTCGTTCAGTAAGTAATAATTTTACAGAGGTCGGGTGGAATTTGATAGGAAGACAGAAATCATTGCATCCATGTCTGGGTGTCCGTGCTGCCCTTTCTAGTACATCTGTCCTTTGTTACATGATACAGGAGATGATCGCTTTCAGGAGGCTGGTACTGAGATGCCTGAAACATTATGAATAAAAATCAGAATACTTAGCTCGACTAGTGTGGCTCAGTGGATTGGGCACCGTCCCATGGACTGAGAGGTCCCCGTTTGATTCCTGGGACCCACATGCCTGGGTTGTGGATAGATCCCCTGGGAGCATGCAGGAGGCAGCTGATCGATGTTTCTCTCTCACACCAATGCTTCTCTCTCTCCCATTCTCTCTAAAAAAAATCAATACAAACATATTTTTAAAAATTAGAATAATTCATTTGAAAAGTTATGAGAGAAAATTTTAGACATTTGATATTTAATGTTTATTAATATTGGGATCTAATAGATTATAAGCACCCTGTGGTGAAAAAAGCAAAAGATATTTTCCTTTTTTTCTACATATTTTTTTCCTTTATTGATTTTAGAGAGAGAGGAAAGGAGAGAGAGAGAGAAACGTCAATGAGAGAGAACATTGATTGGCTTCCTCCTGCATTCTCCCTACTGGGGATTGGACCCACAACCCAGGCACATGCCCTGACTGGGAATTGAACTGGCGACCTCTTGGTGCATGGGTAGATGCTCAACCACTGAGGCATACCAGCTGGGCCAAAATATATTTCTATATATGAATATTGACTATTGACATTATACATAGTCAAGAAAACCCACAATGAAGATTGTTTTTTATAAGTAAGAAGAGAGGCCCTGGCTGATGTGACTCAGTTGGTTGGAGTGTCCTCTTGTACACCAAAATGTTGCAGGTTTGATCCATGGTGGGGCACATTTGGGAGGCAACCGATCAATGTCTCTCTCTCTCTCTCTCTCTCTCTCCCCCCTTCCTCTCAATAAAATCAGTAAGTAAATAAATAAATAAATAATTTAAAATAAAAAAGAAGAGAAATTATGACCTAATCCATTTCTTCTATGTCCATCATGTGAGATATTATAATCTATAATGTAGTTCAGTTAGAAGGTCCGGTCACACTCATTGCATTCTATTTCTATATTTAGATACTGTTTGATAATTAAGTTGAAAGTGTTCAATCTTATTGTTCCCTTACTTACCTTTCCAGTTATGTCCCCAAAAGACAGAATTGCTTCATTGGCATCAAGAGGGTCATACCAATAATCCATGCAAATTGGTGTTCCTTTCAGGCCTTGGAGTTTATATTGGCAAGGAAATTGTTCTTTGGACAGCAGATCATAAAAACAAATCTCTTTACTTGTAAAAGCCACCGCTATCTAAAGTAGAAAGTCAGAAAGCATTTCTGATGGATTTAGTGAAATCGATATGCAAAGTAGACATGCAAATCTTAGCACCAAATATTCCCTGAGGGTTCTTAAGAGTATTATAGAAATATAGCAGGGCACAAGTGTGTTTTATTCCAACTTTGGACACTCACCAAGAAAAAAATATTTCCCATCAAAATCATTTGAATACACTTTCTTGTCTGTCCTCCCTTCACAAACACACCAAATTCTTGTATCCACAGAAACTAGAGGACTATTCACAAAGGAAAAACAAACACACAGACAGCTTCAAGTTCACACAGTCACACCAAAACTTTACCCTCCAGGTTTTACAAAGTGAGCAGAAGCTTGCACAGAAATCGAGGAATAAAAGCTTGGTAAGAAACCTTCCTAAGTCAGATAATGTCCTGAAATCTATTTTTTAAAGGGTAAATAAATGTGTCAATAACATTGACAAAACTTACCCCCCCCAAAAAATAGAGAAAATAAACACATTACTAAAATCATAAATGAGTGGGTATTACTATTAACTTTATAGAAATTTTAAAAAGGGATTATAAGAAAATACCTTAAACAATAATATGCCGACAAATAACTTCAATTAAATGAAAAAAATTCATAGAAATATAAAAATTATCTTAATTTAAATAAAAAGGTATAGAAAAACTTAGCAGATACATAATAAGAGAATAAATTAGATATAAAAAACATTCCCACAAAGAAAATTCCAGTCCCAGATGCTTCATTAATAAATTCAATGAAACATTTAAAGAATTAACACCAGTCCTTCTAAAATTCTTCCAAAGAAATAAAAGTGGAAGCAACACTTCCCAAATCATTTTATGAAGCTAATATCATCCTACTACCAAACCACAGAGACATTACAAAAAACTGCAGATCGATATCTCTAATGATTATAGATGTAACGTTCTTCAAATAAATACTAACAAAGAGAATCCAACAACATATAAAAAAGATTACACACTATGATCAAGTGATATTTATACCAGAAAGGAAAGGTTCGTTAACATATAGGTACAATCACTATAATGCACCATATTAATAGAATAAATGACAAAAGCTATTTGATGATCTCAGTAGATACGAAAAAAAGCATTTGACAAAATCCAATACATGTTCATAATAACAAAACTCAATAAACCAGGAATAGAAGAGAACTTCTTCAACCTAACAAAGAGCATGTACAAACAAAAAACAAAACCTACAGCTGATATGATCCTTATAGTAAAAATGTGACTACATTCTCCCTAAGATCAGGAACAAGATGAGAATGTTTACTCTTAACACTTCTTCTATTCAACACTGTACTGAATTTTCTAGCTGGGGGAATTAGGCAAGACAAACAAATAAAAGCATCTAGATTGAAAAGGAAGAATCTAAACTATCTCTACTAGTAAATGGCATAACCTCATACATAAGATAGCCTAAAGAATCAACAACAACTAACAATAATGACAACAGCAACAAAGATTAGAACAAATAAATGAGTTCAGCTAAGCTGCAGGACATAAGATCATATTTTTAAAACCTATTATATTTTATATACTAACAATGAACAATCTGAAAATGAAATTACCAAAAGCAGTGTTGGAAGAATGAGAACACAAAACACAGATTGTTTTGGGATACAATATTTGTAAAGTATTCATTTGATAAATGTATAAACTCAGAATATATAAATAACTTCCCAAACTCAATAATAGCAAAATAAACTCAAAAAATTAACAAGAAATTTGAAAAGATACTTGACAAAAGAGGATATATAGGTAGCAAATCAGTATAAAGAAATATATTCAATATTGTTAGTCATTGGGAAAATGTGAGTTAAAACCACAATACAATAAAATACAAGCTTATTAAAATGGTTCAAATTCAGAGAACAAAAAACCTGATCATACCAAGTATAGGTGAGGATGTGCTATATCCATACAATGAAATATTACACACCAGTAAAAATTAAACTACTGATGTATTCAACAACATGGATGTATCTCAAAAAAATTAAGCCAGGTCAAAGAAGTCAGACCAAAAAAGGAACGCACACAGTGTGATTCCTTCCTATTACACAAAAGTCTAGCAATTGCAAACTAATCTATAGTGATAAAGCATATCTATGGTTGCCTCGCAGGGAGGGATGGAAGGAGTTGGAGGAGGATTACAAAAAGATACAAGAAAGTTTTGAAGGTGACAAATATGTTCATTATCTTCATTGTAGTGTTGAGTTGTCACAGGTATATAAATGTATTAAAATCTATTAAGTTGGATATCTTTAAGATGTGCAATTTAGTTTGTATAATTATACCTCAATAAAGCTATTTTTAAAAAGAAGTAAAAGCAACATTCTTGAAGCTTGTATGTTGAGTAAATACAAAGGAGAGGTTGAGATTTATCAGTCCTGGAAAGAAGAAATAGTGCAACATAATCACTATGTATTATAGCAACACAAACATTACATTATAAGAACAGAATGCTGCACACAGACATGAAAAATCTGGACGAGAACTATCTTTTAAACCATACCAGTTAAACATGAACACCAGCTTCTCAACAAGAAGGGAGTGGATGTGATATCAGCTTCTGAAATCAGGTTGCTTCCATTAACAAGCTTGCAACACTGTATTACATTTTGTGTGACCTGGAGCAAATTTTACCACCTCTCCTTGCTCCACCCCTAATTCTTAAAGGGGAAATAAGATCCACTTCATGGTGATTTTGAGGGGATTAATAGAACAGGGTATGTCACATAGGAAGGTAAAGATGATGATAATGATTCTTTATGGGTCCAGAAAGTAGAATACACTATGTCCCACTAAAACAAATCCTTGCTCTTTGGAGAAATGGCTGATTCTGGGTCTAGCATAATACATACGTGAAATGAATCTGAAACACCTTGTCATACCAGGAAGCAAAGAAGTTTTCAAAGACCACTAGAGTTATATCAAAATGAGACTCAGAAGCTGGTTTACATTAGTTTCTCTGACCAAAGATGGTACAATTTAGGAGATGGTATAATAAGTCAGTAGATTGACACAATACAAATTTGTTTAAACCCATGAGTGTGTAATGATATTGATACAATAATGATAGTAGTGTTCATGTTTTACCTTCAGAGGATATTAAAAAATCAGCTCATTATTTTGAATACTGGTAAATAAAAATAATTAGGCATTTCTTCTGCCTTTGCTATACAATTTGAAATACATGAAAGCTAAATAATTTACAAGTGAAATTTTTTTTTTGTAGAGGTATAAAGGAAAAGGAAATGATGAAATTAGCATGTCATCATCTTGCTCCCCTGATAAATGGATGAATCTGGAATAATCAGCCATAACTGTTAACATCCCAAGAAGAGAGAGAACCAGGTATTTTGTGCCTCCTGATTGAGGAGCACCTATACCAAGACTTTAGTCTTGACTACGCATTTACTGGAAATACGGAGAATAAGTAGACATGTCAAACAACCCCAGATAAATACAATCTGAAAAATCTAGATGGTGTAAAGTCTGAAGGACAAACATCTAGTTTCTTCAAGAATAACATTGAACAGCAACAACAACAGAATGCAAGAATAAAGAAGGGAAGGAAAATGTGTTAAACCAAAGAGATGTATCAACTATGTAGTGTTTGAACTTTATTTGTTTCTTGTTTCAAACTAACTGTCAAACAAATAATAAACTATCAAAAATCATAAGACAAAGAAATATGTACATGACTAGGTATATAATGATATCAATGAATTATTGATATTTATATTAAATATGTAGTGGTATTATGGCTATACTAAAAAGAGACACATTTTTAAAATGCTAAATATTTACAGACTAAATGATTAGATGTTTTGGATTTCAACAGAGGGAAGGTATAAATGAAACAAGACTGGATGTGAAGTGGAAAATGGTTAAGGGTGAATATTGTTCTGAATACTATTATTCACGCTTGTGTGTGAGTTTAAAATTTTTCAGAGTGAAATTTCCATCTACTTAACACAAAATACGAAGAACAAGAATTCTTTAAGCTGCGTTCTTCTCTCACAAACTGGTTTTCCTTTCCGTATGTTCTCTTACTCATAAGCATAGTTATATAAAGATGTTTGGACTGAGTGGGCCCTAAACATCAGAACTAAGAAACTGATTAGCACAGTGGTCAAAATCATCAAACGAGACAAGCAGTTCCCTGTGATTGCAGTCAGCTGTGCCCACACTGTGCAGCCTTTCAGCTCTGCACACAGATCCATGGTTCTGCTGCAAACTGTACAGTCGTACAGGTCTTATTAGCTAGTGATGCAGCACGACCACATCTGAGACAAAGCCAAGCATCTGAGTTGGCATCAGCCATGTAAAGGCGCACAGGAGAACAGCGTGGAAGACAGAGTAGTTCCCTTGGCTCTTCTTGTATTCCCTCCAGGTCAGGTTCGAGGCACAGAAGAATAATGCAGCTCTGTCACTGCTCGTGTTATGCTTGACATTGACCTGGGACCCTGTCCCATTATTTCCCCCCTTACACAAGCAGTAAATTTATGTATGAAGACTCTTTACCTTGTTTACATTTTCCAGAGAAACCAGACTTGTCACCCACAGGTGTTTCAGCTTGGTGGCATCTGAAGTGATAGGAAGTGTTTCTTGCAGCTTTAGATTCTCTCCCCAAATGCCTAACAAACCGTCCTTACTGATGGTCACATAGCGACTGGAACTCTTCAAGAAAATGACCTTTTGAATGGTGTCCTTGTGTTTCACTGGGAGGAATTCGAGGTCTTTCCACTGGGGAACCACAGTTGCCTTTGCACGTTCATCATTCTCATAAAGTGTTAACAGCAAAAATGAAGAAAGTTTGTCCCAATTAATGAAGCCGTCCTGGGCCACATCCACCTTGTCAAAGAGCTTCCCATATTCTTCCCGTGGGCCCCAACCAACAGTCTCTGTCATCCTCTGCGTGAACTCTTCTCTGGTCATGCAAATGGATTGACTTGGCTCTGGGGGCTAGAAATTGGGATAAAAACAAGACAGCCAGTGAAAGCATCAGAAGTACCAGAGCACTTGTGCCCCCCCCCCCCCCCGGTGGATCTAATCGGTGATTCTGCCAAGGTACTGAGAAAAATGTCTTTTACTTTATACTTAAGTGATGGGGAGCAAATAGCTGACAAGGCAACAAGCAGATATCCTCAACAGCATGTCCTTATATGCAGGAAAGGGAGGCAGGAGAGCCAGAGATCTGGTATGATGATAGAAGCAGGGCTCAGAGTAATGCAGGGCTATGTGCCAAGGAATGGGGGTGGCCTCTAGAAGTTGAAAAAGGCAAGGAAACAGATTCTCCCCTAGAGCCTACAGAAGAAAAACAAGTCTGACATTACCTTGATTTTAGCCCCATAAAACCCATTTTAAAATGTCTGACCTCTAGAATTGTGAGATAATAAAGCTGTGTATTTTAAGCTACTAAATTCGTGGTAATTTGTTATAACATCCACAGGAAATTAATACAGTGGTTTAAAGAAAATGGGTGAATCCCTGAAGAAAGTTTAGTACGGGCAGTAAAATTATACAACAGTGAGACTTTAATCCAAGGGCAAGAAGTCCACTTCTATAAATATACACCAAGAACCATGAACCCATATACAGTTGATTTTTGTTATTCGTGGTAGCTATGTTTTATGAAGTCTCTACAAACACTAAATCAGCAGATACTAAACCATTTCTCCTAGGGGAAATACAAGGTTAGGTTTCTTTTGAGCTTCTGGTCACAGTATTTTCATCAACTGATCACTTCATAATTTTGTTTTATGTGTGTTTCTGTTGAAAGACACCTTATTTAATGTATATTGTTAATTCACTAACATGGAATTCATGGCCAACAGCACTATAACTCATGCCTGAACGAAACTTATCTAACACAGGTATTTTCTTCATAAGACACATGACAGCCTTCTTGCACTTAGAAACACTAGATAGCGCTTCAGCACTACTCCTGGGGGCTATTTTAAAGAGTGAAATCACCAGCAAAAAGCACAAAATGCAAAAAACTTGGCACTAAATAGACCACAAATAGGACACTTGTTTAAGGGAAGAGAACTGGAATAAGAAGGAAGAGAGAGTACAATATTATCTTGTTTGACCTCAGCCCGGACATTGGAAGACTGACGTTTTTTGCTACTCTGTATATGTCTGTGAATGTTCACAAAATTGCCTTGAGTATTGATTTTGTCATTACAAGTAAATTTTAGCAAGTAGGCAAATTCACAAATACAGAATTCATGAATAATAAAAATCACCCATACTGCAAGAAAGTATATAGCTCAACATTGACAGATTGTTTAGTTTGGTGATATTCATAATGAGAGAATCTACTTTTCCTATTACTTTAGAGCCAAAAAGTCAAGATCGACAATTAGCTCTGGGAGGCAGCATATTGTAGAGCAGGTCAAACAATTGTAGGTTTAATTCTGATTCCACCAGGAACTGGGATAACTGTTGGGGGGTTATGTCACTGCTGAACCTTAATATTCCCATGTATAAATGAATATGGCAATATCAGTTGCAAGAAAATTGTTATGAAGATTAACTGACATATCAAGTGATGCAGAAAAAGCATTTGACAAAATTCAATACCATTAATGATACAAATTCTCAATAAACCAAGAACAAAATAAAACTTTCTCAACTTGATTAAAAAAAAATGCCTCCAAAAAAACATACAATATGAATAATGGTGAGAAACGTGAAGCTTTTCTACTAAGATCAAGTATAAGACAAAACTGTCCCCTCTCATCACTGCTCTTCAACATCATGCTGGAAGCTAATGCAATAAGACAAAAAGCAAGCAATCAAGCAGGAGAGAGAGAGAGAGAGAGAGAGAGAGAGAGAGAGAGAGAGAGAGAGAGAGAGAGAGAGAAAGGAAGGAAGGAAAAATAAGAGATATAAAGATTGCGAAAGAAGAAATAAAAATGCATTTGTTCTCAGATGACATGATCATCTATGTAGAAAGTCTGAAAGAATCAACAAATTCCTGGAATTAATAAGTGATTACAGCAAGGTTGTAGGATACAATGCTAATGTACAAAAGTCAATGAATTTCCTATACACTATCAATGAACAAATGTAATTTAAAATTAAAACCGCAATACCATTTACATTAGCAACCAATAAAATGAAATACTTACATATAAATCTATCAAAGTATGGATGTACAAGATATATATGAGGAAAACTATAAAATTTCAATTAATAAAATCAAGAACCAAATAAATGGAAAGATAGTCCATGTCCAAGAACAGGAAGACTCAAGATAATCCAAAGATTCCATGCAATTCCAATAAAAATACCAGCAACTTATTTTGTGGATATCAAAAAACTGATTATAAAGTTTATATGGACAGGCAAAAGACCCAGATGAGCTAATCAAATATTGAAGGACAAAAACAAAGGTGGATGAATTACTCTACCTGACTTCTAAACTTACTATAAAGTTATAGTAATCAGACAGTGTGGTATTGGCATAAGAATAGACAAATATATAAATGGAACAGAACAGAGTTCAGAAATAGACCCACATAAACATAGTTAACTTGAGGTAGTAGACTAAGAACCTAGGGACATTCTTGGGCAAATAGAATGTGTAAACTGAGACAAGATAATTAAACAAGGCCAAACAATTTGAACAACTTACAGATAGTTAGTGAATCACAACACCTTCTCTTTCCTAACCAAGGACACTTGAGAACAAATGGTTTATTCCTCTCCTACCTAACCAGAGAATACATAATTTAAATCACCCTGGTCAGGGAGGTAGAGGACAGAGACCCAATTAATGCTACTTGTGCCAACTAAACCCAAGGATGGATGAATTCAGGAGAACAAATAACAACATCCAAATTAGTGCCAGGCAGACCCAAGATAAAAGTAAAACAGTAAAGTGGACCAAAAAATAATCCCAAACTCCCTTTATACACTCATTTTGATGCATCAACATATTAAAAACACGCCTGGAAAGCTGATGAATTTTCTACTGAAACTCTCCCCTAAGATTCTCATCCACAGAAGGATAAAAACTCTCAAGACAAAGACCCAGTGTGGGCTCGCTCTACAGCAGCGGTTCTCAACCTGTGGGTTGCGACCACTTTGGGGGTCAAATGACCCTTTCACCGGGGTTGCCTACGACCATCAGAAAACACATATTTCCGGTAGTCTTAGGAACCAAGACACCGCTCCTCTATCAGTGTCCAGGCGGGTCTGCCCACATGCAGATACACCCACATACAACATGAGGAACTGATTAAAGGGTCAAGGTGCTAGGAAGGTTGAGAACCACTGCTCTAGAGCATGCCCATATTCCTTCTTGGACATAAACTTTTTTTTATTTTAGATATGTTTTTATTGATTTTTTAGAGAGAGAGGAAGGGGGAGAGAGAGAGAAACATTGATGTAAGAGAGATACATCAATCTGCTGCCTCCTGCACATCCCCCACCAGGAATCGAGCCTGTATCCTGGACATGTGCCCTGATCAGGAGTTGAACCGGGACCTCCCAGTCCATGGGATGATGCTCAGTCCACTGAGCCACACCGGCCAGACTCAAGCATGGACTTTTTACTTCCTCCTAAACTCTAAGGGTTCCCACAAGACTTGCAACCAGGGGAGTAGCAGGCCATGGCAGCTTGTCTCAGGCTAACCCCTAAATCTCTCTCCAAGGTCCAACTTTCCAGTAGGCTAAAAGCACCCTTACCTTAGTTCACTTCTGTCACTGTGACCTTTACTTCCCAGTGAGCTAACAGCAGCCCCACTTTGGCTGACTTCTTTTTGTATTAACATTTCTAGGGAGCCAAAGCGGAGCACCGCCTAGGCTCTCTCCTGTTGCTTCCTCTACCCTAAGTCCTGCCTTTGTTTCACTGTCTCCAGCTTTAATAAACATGCTCTCAAAATCACCTGGACTCATGTTGTGAAATCTTGCCCACACAAAGTCGAGAACCCACACACGACAGGCTGGCCTGAGGCAGACCCACCCAGGCCCAGTCTGTACCTGATCACAAACTGATCTTTGACAAAGGAGGAAATACAATGATGAAAACACAATATTTTCAACAAATACTATTGGAATAACTGAACATCCACATGATAAAAAGAAATGAATCTAGACACAGACCTTATGCCCTTCATATAAATTAATTCAAAATGGATCACAAACCTAAATATAAAATGGAAAACAATAAAACCCCTAGAAATTAACAGAAGCAAACCTAGGCGATCTTGACTTTGGTGATGACTTTGTAGATACAATATACCAAAAGGCATGAATCATGAAAGAAATAATTTATAATCTTTATTATAATCTGGACTTCATTAAAACTAAAAAAAAAAAATCTGCTTTTTCAAATATAATGTCAAGAGAATGAGTAGACAAGCATAGACTGAGAGACAATATTTTCAAAAGATACATCTGATAAAGAAATCCAAGATATATAAAGAATTCTTGAAACTCAACTATAAGAAAACAAACAACCCAATTAAAAAATAGGCCCAAGACTTATACCTTCTCAGCCAAAAAGATATACAGATGGCAAATAAGCATATGAAAAGATGCTCCACATCATATTTCATCAGGGAAACACAAATTAAAACTACAATGAGATATAACTACATACCTATCAAAATGGCCCAAATCTGGGACACTGACACCACCAAGTGCTGACAAGGATGTAGAGCAACAGGAACTCTCCTAAATTGCTGGTGGGAATGAGAAATGGTACAGACACGTTGGAAGACAGTTTGGCGGTTTCTTAAAAAATCTAACCACACTCTTATCATACATAGATCCAGCAATCACAGTCCTTGGTATTTACCCAAAGGAGCTGAAAACCACATCCACACAAAAACTGGCACGCAGATATTTATAGCAGCTCTCTTCATAACTTCCAATACTTGGAAGAAACCAAGATGTTCTTCAGTAGGTGAGTGGATAAATACATGGTGGAACTTTCAGAAAATAGAATA